AAAGTGTAACACCGTTTTCACCGGTCTGCTATTCCGACGAAATTAATTTTCTAGTTATTGTAAGAAGATCGATTAACCATTGGAGGACCGGAAATCAATATCGCGAGTCGAGTCGTGACGGTAAGGGTTGCGAAACAAATATCTGACTGACCGAGATCTACGGAACACATTTTTTTCAATTTTTATTATAGTTTCATGTTATTCGTATAACAATTTTTAGAAAAAAATCTACGGACCTATACGAGGCGATTCGCCGGTGCTCTGCGGATCGAACTGCGAAAGTTACATCGGTTTAAAATTGTGAAAGGTGTCGTGTCCGAGCAGCGTCCGGTAAAAACAGTTAATGGATGAAAACGCCGGCGAGTTGGGCGTCCGATAATAATAACGTATAACCCAGCGAAACACGTGAAATTATTTAATTGAGTCGCGTTAGAAAAGTTTGCTCGTTTATCCAAGCCAAATGTCGCCGCTCTCTTTCCCACCCCATTAGTAATATTAAAAACTCCGGCGAACTACGGCGTTAAACCGTGGCTGCCGATGTAACTGTCTCCATAATTGCCGGTCACCGACCACCCTCCCGACGAGTGTTCCGCCGGTCATCGATGACCCCGCGGCAGACTGCGCGTTAAATTCCCCACCCCTCCCCCACCAACTGCACGCGTTTATCTCGTTCAATGCACGGAAAATTCATTTTTCTATTTACGAGTTTAACTACTGTTCTTCCTGCTCGAAAAAGAAAAAAGAAAAAAAATTACTTTTTCAAACACGCAGCGGCAAAAGCTGCGATTACATTTTGCACTCGCGTGCCCGCTAAAAATTGCGCTATCTTGAAATTGGAAAATCAAAAGTTTGGAAACGATTGGAAGTTCGAAATTCGAACGATCGCATCGCGGGTTTCGCGAGCGCGCGAATTTCAAAATCGAACGCGACCGTTCGATTTGCAGAACATTCTGAATTTCTTTTATTTCGCGTGATGAGATAATAATGAAAATATGTTATACGCTATATATATATATATATATATTATCATAATATTACTATATACTATTACTATATTACTATACTATTACTATATATATAATATACTATTAATACAATATATAATATAATATACTAATATACTATATTATACTCTCTATTACTATACTACTATATTATATATATTACAATATACTATTATATTACTATACTATTACTTAGTATAGTTACTATATATATAGTATAGTAATAGAGAGTATAATATAGTATATATAATATATATTATATATTATATATACATAGTAATAGTATATCGTAATATATATATTATAATAATGATAATGATGATTGTGTGGAATTTTCTTTGGAAAAGCATTTTGTTTCGAACGCGAGCGAATCCGTTAATGCGAAAATGATTTTGGATACGGTTTGTTTGGGCATTCTCTGGCGGCGGGCTGGACCGAATCACGGCTAAAGAGACTGAAATATCGAGAAACTGAAATTTTAACGCCCGTAAGATCTCCTCGTCGGCCAAGTTGGGAAGCCATGGTCAAAGGGGTTGGTAGGTCCGGCGATCAAAGGTAATCGCGATGGCGGACGTAAAACAGGGTCCGTATCGAGGCTGCAGGATCTTAGTTCACGCGAATTTCTCGCTCTGCCCTCCTCTTTCTCTCTTTCCGTCGGAGTTGCGCAATCTTCCCGAGGGTGCTTTGCAACGAACCGGTTGTTACCCCGTCCCTCCCCATTTTTCACCTCTAAAGAGATACACGCGTCCCCCGGCCCGAAGGGCCGTCCCTGGTTACACGCTCTGATTCAAACCCAATCTTTCGGAATTATTTGCCAGACTCCCGGTCGTTTATTAAAACTCCGTACTTTCCACGCTTATTGAACACGATCTCGGGAATAACCTTGATTTTTTTCTGAGCGACAACGGTCATTCTCTTCGAAGCTGGAGCATATGCTACAGAGCCCTGTTTCCAGTTACCCCTCTCCGTCTCTCTGTCTCCAATTTACCCCTCAACAGGACCGCCAATCACTGCCAGTTATTGTTTCATTAAATGTTTGCGTATTTCCAAATTAACCCCTTGCCATACTTCGACGAGTCTGACACGTGATGGAGATATTTAGGAAGAAGCTGTTAAGTATGAATATTATTCCGTTCTTTTAAGTCGAAGCAAAATTCTGTTCTCTTTGTCATCGATATTTAGGCATTCAATTAAATGCAGGCATACGATAAATATAATTTGTCTTTTTTTCTTCTTAAAGATTATTACAAGCAAAAAAATTCTAATCACCGCAATTATGAAGAAAATAGTACGGCAAGGGGTTAATAAATGCAAGTAAATTCACGTTGACACGTTGCAAGCTCGACGAGCGAGTTGATAGAAGATTATACGAATTTTTAAATAATTACTTTAACGGATATTAACGATGACCCGATTAAGGGTTGAAGACATTTTGGAACGATTTTATAGTCTTGTTTTGATCGTGTATCAAGATTCCACAGATTGTGCAGAAATTAAACAATGCACGAGGATCGCGTTTGATCTTTCTCCGAGCAATAATTAACATATATATATCCGAGCAATAATAACAGACACGATTCTGACACTATTTAACCCCTTGCCATACTTTGACGAGCCTGACACGTGATCGAGATTTCTAGTAATAACCTGTTCAATAAATTGATGAATAAAATTAAATAAATGAATAAAATCCTGATTTCTTGTCATCAGTATTTAAACATTTAAATAAACGTGAACACACGATAAATATAAATTTTCTTTTTCTTCGAAGAAATTGTTGAAATCGGAAATCTTCTAATTATTGCAACTATTCAGAAAATACTACGGCAAGGGGTTAACCCACGCGAGTGCATCGACTGCGATCGATGCCGAATATCGGAAAACAAAAGAAGCACGGTGCAGTTTTAATCGTTTGATATTATTAGTCGACGTTATCATTAGTCGTCTCGCAGTGTTATACCGAACACCTGATCGAGGCGCGATGATCTAATGGACGATACTTCGTCGAGCCTCTAAAATAGCCTAGAAAATAACTACAATAATGTCTCGCTTACTGACGCTCAGATTGTCCACTAAAATGGACAATTTGAGAAGAGGAGACACGATTATTCGAGCCTTGCAGCTCATTGTTATAATTGTGGACAATTTATAACTATAAAAATAGGCTCGAACAATCGTATCTCCTCTTCCCAAATTGTCCATTTTCGTGCGCAATCTGGGCGTCAATTAGAGAGACATTTACTGTAGCATGATCGAGTCGCGATGCCACGGGAATAAGTTTGCGGGGGATATTAAACCGTAAACAAGTGGAAAGAGGAAGAAAGGAATTTTTTGAAATCGTCGAACTAGGGAGACCCTTGAAGGGAAAGTCGGCCGATCTCGTCGAAATTCCGTTTCCCGTGGCCAATCGGATTTCCACCCCCGCGCTACTATTCCATCGCTCTCTCTCTCTCTCTCTCTCTTTGTTTCCCTCTCGCTCTCCGTCTATTTCTCTAGCCCTCTCTCTCCCTGTTTCTCGTTCCCTCCTCGCACACGAGTCGAGTGTTTACTCGCGTGTTCGAGTTCTGTCAGTGTCGCACGCCGCTCTCTCCGGCAAACAGATCGATCTTCGGCCTCCGCGGCGCCGCTTTTCGCCGATTTTCGTCCGGCAAACGACAAAACCGATCCCTCGGGACAGCGACGGGCCGCCGCCGGGATACCGGGAGTCCGGGAGACCGGGATCGAGCGCCGAAAGACGAACTTGTTCCCGTGCAACAGAACGTTTTAGAGAAGCCTGATCGAAGAGCCGGGGGGGTTGGTTCCCTCTGCGCCGGGCCTTCCCGATTGGTCCGCGGGATTTAGTGCTCGGGGGAACACGACTTTCGGGTTTAATTCCCGGGGAGATTCGTCCGGAGGGGCTCGACGATTGTTACGGGAATAACGAGAGGGATATACAGTGACCCTGGAACACCCGTGTCGCCGTTGATTTCTCTCCGCGCCGCGGTGTTTACCGCCCGAAAATCTCGCCGAGACCGCCTCAGAACTGTCACCGTTGTTTCGTCGCTGTTCCAACATCTGCTGTTTGAAGTTATATCGTAAAACGATCGACGAGCGAGACCGGAAGCATCGAGGTTAAATGCAAACGCCGCGTTCCACGGAGTTCGATAAAGGGCTCGCGAGCGGGTCGGAGAACGTCGCGGACAAGCTCGGCGAAGATTTTATGGGAATTTATGCTATCGGGAATTTATGGTGACAAAAATGACCCGGCCCGTTCGCGTCGTACCATCGAAACACGGAAATTCGTCGCGCAAAGTTGTCCCCGAGACGATCGAAACGCGACTCCGATTAACCGTTCTCGCGCTACGATATTTATTCAGGGTCGCGTCGAGATCCGAGTTCTCTCTCTCTCCCTGCCCTATCGCTGATAAATTCCCCGGCGCGGAATAAAATGTCTGTTTATCGCGCGGCAACCTTTACTTTGCCGTTCAAATGTTGACGATGGCAGCGGCGGCGGAGTTCGATCATCGATTCGACGAGACGGAATATTCACGGCGACGAGGCCGACGCGACGACGTTACCGAATGTCACCGTTACGAAGAAGCGACGAGGGTTGCGATCTCCGCGAGCAGAAAATAAGCGAAGAATAATAATAACAACACCGATACGCGGATTCCGGGACGCTCGAAACAGCGGCGTCGGGACGCGCTCGTAAAGAACCCCATCCCCTAAAACGCGACACCGTTGAAACCGTCAACAAGGGCTGTGTGCAGGCCTGCGGAAGGTTTCCGCCGACTGTTCGGACAGTCCGCGGTGTTCGGGGTGGATGGTCGACGGGGAAGAAGGTTCGCGGCACCAGGATTCCTGACGAAATTTCGCTCGAGCAGCAGAGCTGCCTGGCGGCCCGACGCGGAAAAGTGTGCGGCTCTCGCACTCCGGGAAATTCGGTGGTGGTCGTCGTCGGACGACGTCGTTAAACGACGTTTACGTTCGAGTGTCACGGGGGAGGGTGGTACTTACATGTCCAAGTTGGGCCACGTTGAACGACCGGCCTAGGTAAGGACTGGCGGCGATGCGGCGACGCGTGTCAACGTCCCCTCGGACACTTTGTGGCGTGTCGGTGTGGTGTGGTGTGCGTGTGTGTGTGTGTGTTCGTCCTGGTGCCGCTCTCCGAATCAAAGTCGACGATCCTTTAGCCGGGCGTCGTTGCTCCTCATCTTGAGTCACTGGCTCGTCGAAAACACAACAGCGCGCACAGAGAGGGTGGTAGTCCTCGATCGGCACGACGTCGACGTCGACGTCGACGACGACGACGACAACGGATTGCTCACGGATATGCTCACTGTTCCTCACGCAGGTCCTCGCACCCCTGAACCGTTCGTTCTGCACTGAACGAGCCCCTCGTCCTGTCTCTCTCTCTCTCTCTCTCTCTCTCTCTTTCTTCTCGGCGAGAGAAAGAGAGATAGGTTGCGAGAGACGCAGCAAGCGAGACAGACAGACAGACAGACGGAGATATCGCAGTGGGGGGATGAAAGGGCGACGTCGAGGACGCGGAAGGCAGGTCAGGTTTGCGCGCGCGAGAGGCCGACGACTCCGACCTCGGGGTCCACGTCGACGACAGGGTGTAACGAGAGGTGTCCCGGTGGCCGAGGATGCACAGGTCGGCGGAGTCGAGCACCTGGGATCGAGCAGATCACTTGGACCGAACCGGTGGTGGACGAGGCGAGCTGGCGAGCTGGCACGGACGAACGAGGCGGCTCAGACCACCGGAGAAGGAGTAGGAGTGCGAAGAACGCCGGAGAAGAGGGGTGTACCAGTGCCGATCGGTGGGGAAGCGATTTCGGGCAAGGGTGGCGAGGGTGGCGAGGGTGCCTGGGTGGGGGCGCGGAGGGAGGCGAGAGGTGGCTCGCGAGCCCGTGCCTCTGTCTCTCGCTCTGCTCGCTTCGGGCTCCTCTCTTTCTCTCTCTCTCTTCCTCTCCCTCTCTCTATCTCTCTCTCTATTTCTCTTTATCTCTCTCTCTCACTCTTTTTATCTATCTCTCTCCTTCTCTCCGCCAGTCTGCTCGCCTACCTGCCTACCTGCCTGCTTGCCTGCCTATCTCTCCTGGCGCTGCCTGCGAGCCAGCTCAGTTTTGCTCTCACCCCTCCGCCGCTTCTGCGCCTCTCTCTCTCCACCAGCTATCCCAACCCCCAACGAACACCTCGCTCCGCGCTTCCTCCAGCTCTCTGTCTCTTTGGCTGCGCAGGACCCGCCACGACCCGGCCAAACCCAGACACCCAGCGTGTAGGTACCGCGGGCTCGCATTCGAGGTAGCTCCAGCCACCCCAGCTGCTCCATCCCCACCAAGCCAACCCCGTATCTCTGCCAGGGACGTAGCGGTCCGGCGCCGGCACCCCGACACAGCCGCGGAATTTCGATTTCGATTTCAATTTCGATTTCGGTCGAGCCAAATCATTAACAACGAGCAGCTCGACACGGTATTCGAACCCACGGACGACCGATCGTCGTGTTTGTGAATATTCAATCGACGACGACTGTCACCGCGTTCTCGGATTTGCTCGTCAGTTTTCCGAAATAAAGATTTGTAATCTTTTTAATCCGCGGGTATCTCTCGACCGTCTTCGAGACGCGAGTGACCTTTTATACGGAATAAAAGTAATCGCCGGGCTCTGTGTGCTCGTAATGATTGGCTAAATCGGATCATTCAAGCAATAAGAATCGGTATTGTAATTGATGAAATTTGGATTGCATAGATTGTAACTCTCGTCGGAATGTGTTTAGGGTTGTCGCGAAGTTTTATCACGGAAACGTCTCGCAGCGCTATGTTCAATTGTGTCGCTCCTCTCTTATTTACCGTTGGCTGAAGGGCTTTGGCCCGTAAATAAATATTATTATTATGATCAAAACAGATCCATGAAGACTCTTCTTGCGGAACAGTCTTTCCGTTGTTCACAGCTACGAATTCTCCCTAAGTTTCCTTCAGCTTGCAAACAAAAAAGGACAATTCTGGAACCGGAGATGCGATTATACCCCTTGCACTTCCTTTTTATAATTATTAACAATCCATAAAACTATAAAAGTGAGCTGCACTTCCGAAATTGACCACTTCCGTTTACAAGCTAAAGGAAACATTGCGGAGAATTTACTGTATTCGCTTCGTTTCATTGCCGAAAATTGAGCGATCGGGCGCCGATTTCGACGCGTTGGGTGAAAAATGACCCGGTAACCGTAACGCAAGGAATACAGTAGTGTCTCTCTAATTGACGCTCAGATTGTTCAGAAAAATGGACAATTTAGGAAGAAGAGGTACGATTATTCGATCCTTGCGATTCGTTTTTATAGTCGCGAATTGTCAACAACTATACAAAACGAGCTGCAAGGCTCGAACAATCGTATCTACTCTTCCCAAATTGTCCAGTTTTGTGTACAATCTGAGCGTCAATTAGGGAGACATTACTGTAGAGCGCAAGTCCTGCGACTTTTCCAAAAGTCGATCCCGAAAAAGGAGCCGATCTTTCTGTTTTGTTTATGATCGTTGTACGGTGGGTCTTTTATACGCTGGTCTTATAAGTCGATCGGTCTCGGCTTGATTAACGATCTTGAAAAGACAATGCCTTTTTTACTTTGATCGACGGATTCACAAAGTTTCGGCCAGAAGCTCCGACTGCTCGTGTAAATACAGCTCTCTCTCTCTCTCAACGGCAACGCTTCGCGCAGACGGATGCACCTGCATCGTATGGTCAGCAATAGTCAGTTTGTCGTTTGATTGTTGCTCATAAAACACGATTGCTGGGGAAACAGCTGCATAACTTTGTTATAGGGGCATCCGCGGATTTCTGTCCTGCGTCCGCGTAAGGGCATCGGCGCGATTAGCGTTTCTCCAGCAGATCCGATTCGAATTTTTTCGTCGTCGAACGGGGAAAAATTCCGTCAAAATTCAGGCGGAAAAGGTAACTTCGGCTTCGCGCTTCGTTTCGCAAGGAGAACGGCACCGCGATCAAAGCGAACGGAACGGTGTAACAGTAGAGATTTCACCCTTTCACAATGGGCCCCGATAGACTGTTACAGAATTTTTGTTGACGAAGTTACAGCGGCGCAAACGTCGACGATTCTTCGATCGATTAAAGAATAATCCTCGAACGTTCCGATCTATGGTGTCTTCGATTCCCGTTTCTTCTTCCCCCGTCAAAATTATAAAATAATTGTATCGTATTACAATGGATAAACAACGTTTAATTTCGTTGGAGAGATCCAAAACGCGAGGCTTCGTAGTCCGAGCGAAGGGTTAATTTCGTTCGCCGTTTCATCAGGGTTAATATTCGTTAACGAGCAGATTCTTCGGCGTTTTACTTCGAACGTGCCGGAAACGTGCGAGAGCCCGCAGACGAATAATCGGTTTGTTTTGTTTTCGATGAAACAAACTGCTGCGCTTGCGGGGGGCGGCCCCTGTTAGATACTAGGCTTATCTTCGCGACCGCTCCGCTGATTTGCCCCTCGCCGAGGGTTCGGCGCAGTGTAAACAGTAACCTGCTTATAACACCGGTGGAAGTATTCCTCACCGCTAATTGCGTTACCGGTTACCCGCGCAAATGGTGATTCGAGGGTAAACAAGAGGAACTTTATCCGGCATCCACTTCGATTCGAAGAATCCGCGTTTCCGACAGCCATAAATTTACACGCCGGTACAAAAAGATTCGTTCGCTTAATGCGATGCATAATTCTTAGTTGAACGTGCTGTCGTTCGGTTCCGCTATATTTCCATCAAAATTCGTTCTCGTTCAAAAAGGTTGTTATATATAATATATTAATATTAATATATTGTGTGTATATAATATAATAATAATATTATAATATAATAATGATATTAATAGTAATATATATGGTATATTAATATAATATAATTATAATATAATTATTATAATCATATTATATTTTTATATTATATATTATATTATTTTAATATTAATTAATATAATTATAATATAATATTATGGTATATTAATAGTAATTAATAATAATATTATAATATTAATATTATAAAGGTTATTATATATAATATATTAATATTAATATTATATATAATATATGTAATATAATAATAAATGCATACTATATTAATATTGATATAATAATAAATGCATAATATATTAATATTGATATAATAATGAATGTACAATATATTAATATTAATATTATATATTACCACGTTAATTTTAATGCGTTTTATCTTTCTGTCCCAGAGAGCAGACTGTTAGCTGTGCTGTTAAATCCCGATTCCGTTGAAATTCGACGAGAACAGCTTTGTTCCGCGTAAAAAAAGAACGATGATCAGGAATTTTTATCGACTCGTGAATCAAAGTTCGAATTTTTGTCAAAATGTTTCACCGTTTCACCGCGACTCGGTTCGGTAAAATTTTCGGCCGAACAAATGTGGAGGAACAGAGAAACGCTCGACGCTCGTGAAGGTAGAAAGCACGGAAAACGTGGAGAATCAGCCCCGCGAAGAAGGGTTGAAGCGATCGAGACTCCCTTTTTTTTCTCTTCCTTCCGTTCGCGGGAAGCGTTCGACGGGTTTCGACGAGTAGCGTGTGGGGGCCGGAGGGGGAGGGCTCATTTACCGGTGATGTCGCGAAATTTCGCGTGATTATGTGCTCCCCGAGCGGAACAATCTCGCGTCGCGTCGACGCGAACAGGATGACGGCGCGGCGGCCGCGGCGACGGCGGCGGCGGGCTTCGGATTCGCGGTTAGATTTCGCGGAGTTACACGGCGCCGTGGCCGCGAATTATTCGACTGTGGAGCAGCTGGCCAGAATCTCCCACGTTTGCCCTCCGTGGAAACTCCCCCGCGAATGCCATCAGCATTTTGTTTCCAGCGAAACTTTACTCCGCGATTCGATCTCGCAGGGCTCTCTTCTTCGAGGGCGGAAAAAGTTAGCAACTGTAGGCACACGTAGCTCTTCGGGCCGCTTAGATTAGATTTAAATCTTCCGGCTGTTACACCCTCCACGCCGAGGCTACCACCGCCGCAATTCGAAATCTTACATTCTCGACCGATCTGACGTTCGAAGAACGCTACACAATTGCGGTAATGTCTCACTATTCGAGCCTTGCAGCTCGTTTTTATATCTCTTAACAATCCGTAACTATGAAAACGATCCGCAAGGCTCGAATAATCGCATTTTCTCCTCCCAAATTGTCCATTTTTGTGCACGAGATTGCTCATTTTTGTTGACACCATCTGAGCGTCAATTACAGAGACATTACTGTACAGTAATGTCTCCCTTACTGACGCTCAAATTGGACGCAGAAAAATGGACAATCTGGGAAGAGGAGATACGATCATTCGAGCCCTGCGGATCGTTTCTATAATTATTGACAATCGATAACCATGAAAAACGAGCCATGAGGCTCGAATAATCGTATCTCCTCTTCCCAAATTGTCCAATTTTGTGGACAATTTAAGCGTCAATTAGAGAGACATTACTGTACATCAATCGTAATGCCGTGAGCTGACTTAAGTTCAAAAGGTTATTATATAATATAACTCTGTATTTTTAATTAAAAGTACTAATTAACTGTGTATCAATCAGCTCGAAAAGTCCTGTCACACCATGGGGTTCTTTATGCTATTATTCCTCGCCGTGTGAACACCGCTGTCCTATTTAAAAATATCTTCGCTACTTTTCCCGCGAATCTAGGAAACCTCTTTGCCAGTCTGAACTGTGATTCCACGCCGACATCGATTATAATAACTTCGTGAACTTCTTCGACTAGTTTCTCTCGCTCGATGTTCCCGCAAAGATCCTTAATTTCCACCATTCGAGTAATCTACGTGCGAAATCAACAGTGCAGTTGCACCGTTCAGAATCAGTTGTCTGGTTATTATCGGTCTCGTGGTTATTATCTTTCTGCTATTTTTTATCGATATTTCATGGAAAATGTACCATCGATAGCTTTCAGACACCGGTCGATCCTCGAGCAAGAATTTCACCGAAAACCGTACGGTCGCTTTGAACACTTTAAATCGTGTCTTCGTCGATGTCAATAATTTCAACCCTTTCATAGGCACTGGCAACTAAGCTTCCCACCCGCTTTCAGCACGCGTATGGACATCAGGCTCAAATATTTAGATCGTTGAAATGTGCTGCCATCTATATATGGGTCTCACCGCCCCTAATTTCGAAGGGTGAAAAATTGAAAAATAACAGGAAAGCGAACAACAGCCGCGTTGCTGTACGATGAAATTATACTAAATTATATTATATTAAAATTCGTATCGTGCCCGTGAAAGGGTTAAAGCTTCGATCGATCCATCTTTTTCGCTCGAATGTCACAGACTCGACCCCGTTAACGCTAGATTTACGAGGCACAAAAGAACAGCTGTTTTATATATTAGTCTATAAAAGATAATAATAATATAATAAGACATTTATATCCGGATTTTTAACAAGCGTTATTGTATAACATTTGGCCGTGAGTAACGTATAAATCGAACGAACAACTCGTAAATGTATCTTCACGATATGAATACAATAATGTCTCCCTAACTGATGCTCAGATTGCGCACAAAAATGGACAATCTTGGAAGAGGAGATACGATTATTCGAGCCTTGCGGCTCGTTCCTATAATTGAGCCGTTTATTTCGAAAGTGGCATAAGTCACTTTGTTTTTAAGTCGATATATTCAAGGGTTTGCGTTTCAACACGTTTAAAAATATGGATGCTAACTTTCGAGAAGATTTGCTTGTATTTGTTATCTCAGGATACTGATATTTCTCTCGGTATAAATAATTTCGTATAAACATTAAAAAATCACCACTTTTCATTACGGTAAAGCGACTTATGCCACTTTCAAAATAAACGGCTCAATTATTGACAATCGATAACCATAAAAAGCGAGCCGCAAGGCTCGAACAATCGTATCTCCCCTTCCCAAATCGTCCATTTCTGTGCACAATCTGAGCGACAATTAGAGAGACATTACTGTAACCGTAAATCAAACAAAAAATTAGCGACCCGTCATTTCGCTTAATTTCCGCGAATCTAGCGTTAATTACTTCGCGTCATCGTAACGCACCCTCTCGTGCATTAAAAATTGCAACAGTTCGCGTCCTCGAATCGAATAAAAATTCAATCGACCGCATCGCTTCCTGGAAAAATCTGTTACGAATCCTCGCGCTTCGCCAAGGTCCCCGATGATATTTTCGGGCTTCGCCTTCCCCCGGAAAACGGGGCGGCTCCGTGCTCCCGCGTCCGCTCGTCGATCCACGAATTATCCGATCGAGCAACAACGAACTCGGTATCTGCGCCAAGAATCAGTCACGCGACGCCGCGGTGGTCGGGCCACACGATCGGCCCCCCTGTTTCGCCTACTTTTTTACCCCGGGAACGTTGTTTCCCCGAAGTTTGCCGACCCTCCGAGCTCGGATTCCCTTTCCGTCGTCGTCGTCGATCGGGCGGCGCGACATTTCCGTCGAACCTGGAACGACGATCGCTCAGCCTGACCGTCGTCAGGCCACGGCTTCGCGGTCCGTTGTCTAATTAATTCACGGGGAAGGGAACAACCCCCCTCGCAGCGCCCCGCAATCGATAATTCTTACGCGTACGCGGACGTCGTTTCGACGACGCTTTGTCAACGTCGTTTTCATATCGGTAATTGTTATCCTCTCGACTAAACGCGAACGATTATTCTTCTTAATTAATTAGCGGCGACCCAGCGGGTACCAAACCAGAATAAGAGAGGCGGCAGAGAGAAAGAGACGAGAGCGTAGGGGTGGGTTCGGAAGAAAAGCCCGACGGTCCCGCGGCCGGAAATTTATGCGCGCGGCGTGTAATACTACCGCGACTGATATCGATGGCCGTGGGATCGTGGCTCTTACAATTATTCCCTTTAAGCCGGTCCTCCCGAAAATTTCTCCTCCGTAGAGGCTTTCCTATTTCTCTGCTCCCTTCTCGTACTCTCTGTATGTGTGTGTGTATGTGTGTGTACGCGTGTGTGTTTGATTGCAAGCCATTCGAAGGGGAGTGGGAGAAGAGGACGAAGCGAGAGAGCCATTTGCGAAGCGAGAAACAAAAAGCAACTGGATAAGAGGCAAGAAAGTAGGACGGAGCAGTGTCTTCGGTCGCTTTCCTTCTACTCGAGACGGAGCACACCGGCCGCGTTTTTCTTCGGCCGTGAGAGGGTAATAGTCCTCGCGTGCTCGAAAGAAAATTTTACTAATATAGCCGGGACGAGCAGCGCAGCCCGGAATTGTAGTTTCGTCGCTGTTAATCGCTTCCTGCTTCTCCGACAGCCCGCCACCCTCCCACCCTCTACGGGCCGCGGATCCTCGCGATTTAGGACGCTCGGCGACGATCCGACGTGTCCGTTCGTCCATCGAGCGAATCATCCCGCGCGAGCCTGTCTCCCTCGAATCGTCGACCCTTCGTTCTCCTACGAGAACGTCGACTCCTTTCTCCCGCGTTCCGTTCACGCGGAAGGGTTGAATTACAATTCGGTGGTTGTTAACCCCTTGACGTACCGTTTTCTTCGCTGTTGCTGCGATTCGAAATTATTCGATTGCGATAATTTCTTGGAAAGAAAAGAGAATCGTCGACCGGCTGGTTCGCCGGGAACAAGATTTATCGCTTCGTCATTTCGACGGATCGCTCTGCCCTTAACCCGTTCGCATCGGACAACGAAACGCGAGGATCGTTCGCGGTTACCGCGTCGACGGAAAAACTTGTACGCGAATATTAGAGAGGGACTTTTGCGACTTTCTCAGAGACAAAGATCCGTTCCGAGTTCGAACCGACGCCGGTAGTCCCGCAATTTGTGACGAGTGCCTCGGAGCGGGAAAATTCCGCGGCCGGTCGGGGCCGCCGGACGGGGCTTCTATTTATGGTCCCGTTGAGTTTATTGGCTCGCTACTTCGTTACCACCGAGTAGACACTGGATGTAATCCTCGTAGTAAACGCGTCCAATTGCCAGCGAGGCTGACATTAAACTCGCGGTGCTGCTTGCGACCGGTTCACCGTGACCGGCGTTCCGACCGGCAGTTGCCAGCGATTGAAAGTGGTACCAGGTTCTAGAGCGGCGCCTTACGGCACTAACGACAACCCCCTCCGATTCCCACCCCCGCGTTTGGCCACCCCTCTCGACCCCCTCGCGCCGGGTCAAGCTCCCCGCGATCAGCACCGAGCCGCACCACCGTATATAGATACCTATTCCGACGTGCCGTGCTCGATCGGTCTGCTCGAAATTACTCGCGAAAGACGTTCGTCGACGCTCCGAGGGCGGCCGTTGATCCGCACCGTACCCGCACGTAAATCGAGAACACGAGGAACACCCTCGCAGGGGACCGACGCTGATACAAATACGATTTTTTTCATTTTTTTTTTTTTTGGTCGAACTGGATGAAAGTTTGACCTGTTGAGAGACACCCTTGTGGTCGAGCTTCTACTTTCTCCTGTTTTTCCTTCTTTTTCGATTTTAATCAAAATTCTGTGATCATCGGATCTTTGTGCATAAAATCAAAATGTTGTTCAGCCAGCTCAATTAACTGGATCTAAATGAAAACGTTAGATTGAAAATGATGCAACGGTGTCCTTGAATTCTCCGAATATTTTCGGAGTACTCTGTTTTTTCCATTCGTGCAATCTCTGCGTCGAATCCGGTGTCCGGTAATCATCGACGTCGATCCGAAGCATGAGAGACATCAAATTCCAAAATTTCACAATTACATATCGAGATCGTGGGACACGCTATCGGGATCCGAACGCCGGGATCCATTTTTTTCAATAAAAATCGTGCGACGTCTCGACAAACGCGGTCCTCTTTCCAACCGTTCGAGGGCTATGCATCTTGTTTCCGGAAGTCGCGGGCCATAATTTGATTACGACGCCGACAGAACTGTTCGTTTCTCCGCGGAAGATATTTTTATATGGCCCCGGTTCTACGAACGCGAACAATTTCAGGGAGCGCCGAGCACACAGGTAACTTCGCAGGTGTTTTGCGTGCGGTCCCCCTGGCTGTGGCACCTTGAGAAACTACTTTCCTCGCCAGTTTCATCATCGTTCTTCCGGAACGACGACATTGTACGAAGAAAAAAAAAATCGAAGGAAAACGGAGCCGGCCTTTTTTGTCGGGGAGACACGTGACTCGAGAGGGGGGGTGGCGGCGGCAACGGCGAAGAGGGAACGTAAGACGCGGGGGGCCAGCCGAGTTTCCGATCGATCGAACACACAGCCGAAGAGACTCGTTGATATACAAACTGGAAGACAGCGAACTCGCCCCGTGCTGCTCCTCGCCGGGGCGATAATTATCTCGGGACCCGGTCTGGAACAGTTCGCTGGAAGTTATCTAAGCACGCGGCAACTTCCGAGATCTCTTTTCTCCCGGGGACGTGGGGGCCCCCGTGATCGATAACAGTTTTCGCGGCGCTGTGTCCCCCCCCGTTCTCTGCCACGTTCTCTGCGGTATTTCCACTGTGCCGTGCTGGCGGGAAAAGAAAAAAGGACGTTGATCGGCCGGGCAAAAAAAATACTTGAGCGGGAGCGCAGAGAGCGTCGCGGATGCGGGGATGAAATTTTTGGCGGCGGCAATGGCAGTGCAGGACTGGCGGAGGATACGGAGCAGTGGCGGCGGCGCCTCGCGGACGCGCATCGATCACGCGCCATTTTCCAGCATCCTTTTTTTCTTCCTCTTCTTTAGGCAACGCGCATCAATTTCTAAGCATCGCGGCGGGATCCTCGAGCCAACCGGAAGCGGAAGAATCGATCGGCCTGGAATGGCTCGCCGATTAACGTCAACTTATTTCTCCGGCCCGGTATTTTCGGTCGCTGGAGGATCGATCTCTTTTCCCGGCATCGGCTGTACAAGGCGCTCCGAAATTAGGGTTGAGTGGTTGCAAATCCATTTGCAAGAGCTCGGCTGCCTCGATCCGGTCAGGTCGATTTCGAAAGTACAAGGATGTGTCTCCTCGAGGCTTGTAAAACTGGTCGAGCGACGTTGATGGGCAGTACTTAGAATTCTTAGAATTCTTTCGCATCGATGAACGAATCTGCGTCCCCTGTTATTTAGGCTGTTAACCGAGGCTGGCGTCCATTTCTACAAACCAATATTACATGTATTTATTTTTTGGAATCGACGTTCACGATTTCTTCGATCAACGACGAAACGGTCTACCGGACAGAATTTGTTCAGTGGCGCAGAGAACGATCGTAAGAATTCGTCAAAAAAAAAAAAAGAAAAAGGAAAAGAACAAAGAAACAAAAACAGGACGACTCTCTGAATAATTCGGGCATTGAATTTCTATCGGTGTCCATGTCACCTAATGCGGGAGCCGTTCTTCCCCTCCCATAAACGCAGGCACGAGCGACCATAAAAGAAACGGTGTCGAAGGTGTTTTTCGTTGTCGAATACACGCGGCAAGTTTCATTACGATCGGCGCGGCGGTGCCGCCCGCGAGAAAGAAACGCGGCTTTGTTCGCGCTCGTGCTATTTTCGAGCCAGCCCTGAATTTTAATGAGCATTACAATCGTGTCGACCCCTTTGGGATCATCCGACGGAGCGGGGCTCGAGTGACCTTAAAAATCCTTTCACGCCCCGAGAACCCGCTGCATCATGCACTTGTTACGCGGCCGATGAGTAGTCGGCCCCTGTTGCAAATAATTGTAAACGCGAGCTGATTCCAGATTAACCGCGACGTCGTCGCTCGCGGATTGGAAAGGTCGAGGTCTAACACCTTCAGAGTCTCTAGAGTCCCTAGGCTCTCTCTCTCTATCTCTCCCTCTCTCTTTCTGGCAACGGAACTTCGGACCTCGACTCTCCCCTCTGCAGTCCCTAGGGCTCTCGACGGGACCTTAATGGAGATCGATGGCGTTTCGAGTCTACCGCAAGTTCTCGGAGCCCTCGGTGTCCCTTGACAAAAGGGCCGCGAGAATTCTGCGAGTCCCTTAAAGGAGCCTCGGTAATCCCGTCTACAAACTTCGGCAAGCCGTGGTTCACGGTGTGTTCGGGCTGTTTTCGCGGTATTTATAGTCTACAGCTGGTCCTCGGAGATCCGCACACTAAGAATCTCTAGAATGTAATTAAAAGTACATACCTCGGCGAACGCTGTCCGTAGATCGTAGAGGATCTCCGTAGAGCCCGGGGTCTTCGATCCCGCAGCATCTTCACGAGCCAATCTTCAGAATCTTGTGTGTCATCATCCGATGGCAGCCCTTGTCCTCGGCAGTCCTATACCGCGGGAACGTCCTCGAGAACGTGGAGGAGAAATCCCTGAAACATGATTAAGATTAATAATTACCCCTGTAATCCCGGTTATAGATTTTCCAAAGGGGCGCGCGCTGCTCTCGCAAAGCTGCTGTCCTCGAACCACCTACCTTCGAAGTTGTTTTTAGAGGTCCTGGCTATCTGGACCACGGTACCACCGCCGTTAGAAGCCGGACGTTCGTTAAATATCGGCGGAAGAGTGTCCCCGCAATCCCTTTCCCTGACTGCGGCCGTCACAAGTGTCCATTCATGGATACTTTAACAACTCCTGGCCAGAGTGCACGGTTGTTCCAAGAATCCAAACTCGGAACTTCCCAGGTATAAGTTTCTAGACACTCGAAGAAAGTAGTTCCGCGATATAGGAACGGAGAGAAAGAAAGCTGGAAGTCGCCGGTAGAGAGGAGAGGGCCCGTGCTGAGGACGGTAGAGAGGGATTCGATCGGGACATAAATCCCCGCGATTCTTCTCGCGCGGCAGCATTTCAATCTCTTGGAGCATCGGCCGGCGAGACACGGCTAATCGAGCGTGGACTGGCCACCCCCTCCCCCTCCTGGTCACGGACCCGCGCCACGGACCTCGTAGGTACACGATATTCAAGCCGCGCCTTTGTGCCTCGTTCCTGACCGTCGGCGATTTCGCGCTGCGCTTACAGGCCGCTTTGTCCGCTCTCGTTAAATGATGTATCGTTCGCGGCGCGGCTGGCCGGCTGGTTGGCTGGTCGAGCTGCCTGACTGGGCCGACTAGTTGGCTGGCTGACTGGACGTATGGCGACGGAGTCAGTCAAAAATTTCAGGCCGCGATACCGATGACATTTTTCTTCGTTCCTGTAACGTGCAATAAACGTTGAATAGATGAATACAAATGTTCGTCGCGCGCTCCTCGATTCCATGACGGAACCACCCCCATCGATTCCACCCTCTAAACGCTGGCACGCCTCTTGATTTCGAAACGCGCCGCGAGAAACCGGCGCAAGGGAGAAACCGACACGCGAACGCCCGTCGTCACGTATACGCCAAACAAATCCGCGGGACTTTAGACACGGTTCTTGACAATCCTGCTAATAGGGCGAAATGATTTATGCGCTTTAACGTTTCTGAAAGAGAAAGAGAGAGAGAGAGGGGGGGGAGAGAAAGAGAGGGAGAGGAAGAGCAAAGTTTCGTCGAAATCGGGTGACGACGACGCGAATCGTCGGAGCAATTCCGGATCGGGCACGGCGCTACGGCGCGAGTCGAAGCCGCTTAATCGCGCGTGAAATCGTCGGCAAATCAAACAGGCTGATGATCACTCTTTACGAGGGTGGCTCTCGAATTACACGGGGAACGGGGGCGAGGAGGGGTCGGATAGGGAACAGTCGATTCCCTGGAAGGAGCGGCGGTTCCATGGGAGATTAGCAATGTCGGAGCTGGTAGGTTCGCGCGAAGATTAGATACACCCAGCAAAGGTGTAGTTAACCCGGGTCTACCCGCGCTGATATACTAATTGAATTAGTTATTTCGAAGCGGAAAGTTAAGGGCACGTCTGCGAGCCAAGTTTTCAAGCTGAAATAACTCGGCGAATCGACGTGCTACCGCCCCGGCAATGCTCTTCTCTCTCTCTCTCTCCCCCCCTCTCCCTCTCGCTCTCCTACCGCCGCCCTCGTCCTGGAAACTTCTTATTAACCCGAAAGTTTCGTTTGATATCGAGCATGAGTATTATTTAATTATCAATTCGGGGTCCCTCCCGGTCGGCAACACGGTTCGTCGCCAGACTCGATACAGGTTCCCATGGACTTATACGTGCAATCGCGATCCTGAACTGACGGAACCAATGTTTATAATGCTGCGTTTCCTTACATTGAAATGGACAGCGACGATAAAGACTGTCCCGCGGGGCCATTAAGCCACGCCCTCGTCGCGCGTGCCACGCCTACTTTGCAACACAGACTCTTCGAACCACCAAACCGGACGAAATGAAAGACTCCAGTTTCTTCGTCTTACAATTGCGGTAGAACCTCGTGGTTTCGGACTAAACGATGTGACATGAATGTTCGCCTAATAGAATAGTTGCTCAGTTTTCCATATGGGTTGCCTTAGATCGTGCTGATCCAACACACATTCCAGAATTCCGGCATCGAAGAGCCAGGTAATTTTGTGAATAATTACTGGACGCATCTATCTGCGGGCAAATAAAAGTCATGTAATATCTTGATAAATGTGGTCCGAGTTTTTGATTATTATTATTAATTTCCTAGGCTGATCTGCTATAATTTCCTAACGTTATTAAGCCTCGGACAACGTAAGAACGTTGAAGAAAAATAATTCGTGTCATACAAACTTCACTTTGTGATCTAAATTCGATTCAATGAAACGCTCAGTTGCGTGAAACGTTCGAGGTTGTTCGCGTGGCGATCTAAAAGTAATTAAAACGAAACGAACTGTCCCGCGAGTTTTTTTCCAAGTTCGTCGAAAGATGATACACCTCGGTCGATCTCGAAATAAGGAAGGAAGCTATTACCGTCGCATGTCGAGGTCTGCTGGAAGCCGTCCGAAGTCGATTACGCGGGGGAGGAGGAAGTCGAACGACGCGTTTCCGGAATCAGCGTCCGCTGACAAATTAAATATAGCGCGGACAGGTCGAACGCGATCGATCTTTCTTTTTTCCAGCCGAATTTACATGCCCATTGTCGACGCATTACATTTACAGTCCGCTTGTTTTCCTGGCGAGCGGGTGCTCGTCGATAAATCGATCGGTGGCCGCCGCGCCGCGCCGCGCCGGTTATGCTTTTCACGAAAAGTATTCCCGTTAAAATATTTGCGCGGCCGTGCTTTACGCGTCCATGCGAAAAATACAAATTATTATGGCCGATCGAAACTCTTTTTTTTTCCCCTCCCCACTGTTTGCCCGTCGGCCACCCCCGATCGCGGTCACGCGACGAATATAAAGGAAATTCATACAATTGTAACGAGGCTTTCGCCGCCGCGTCCGTTTAAGTCTTCGTCCCGAAAAGTTCCATTAAAAGCGTATGAATTATTCAGCCCGGTTGAACGTTAATTAGAAAATATTTTTGTGCCGGATGACAGAGACGCGAGCGCGCGCGCGAACCTCCGCGGATCGCAGGGACACGCGATCTCGCTCCGGAAGTGTATATCACCGGCCATTAATATTTCGCGAGCAGCGCAACGGTGTCTATCTAATTTCAGCTCATTTTAATCGGCGCGACCCTTCTCGCATTGGTAATCGATTTCTATCTCGCCCCGGCGGAATATTAATAAACTTGGAAACTTTGCTTAAACGAATGTTTCATGCATATTTGAAGCTATCGATCGCCCGCCGGAAAAATGAATTCGTCGTCGTCGTCGTCGTCGTGGACGCGCGAAGCTGAGAACCTCCGGGCCGCAATAAAACAAACAATATATTAATGTTTAGCTTCCGATTCGGAAAAAACGACAGCCGACGAAACGTTGTTGCTCGAGATCGCAGCGATTCGCGAACGCCGACGCGACGGATAGAACCGGGCGCGAGCAGCGTTTCTCGCCCTCTAAGCCGATTGATTCGAATAATAATCGCGGGTAGAACGCAACCGATCTAAGACTTGGATTCCAAGTGGCGGGGGATTAGGCGAAATAAGGGGATCGTGGATCACGAGGAGTTTGCACTCGCAAGTTCCGTTCAAGTGCGAGAGATCACGTGACGACGAGAGCGCAAGAAAAGGAGAGGCACCTAATGGCATGCCGGGCGAAAGCTAGGTCATTCCACTTGCCGGGATTGGATATAGACTCGCAGTGATACTGCACGACGATCACGAAGACGCGGCGGTGCAACACGCCTAAGCAAACTGCGAGCTGCAGGCTGCAGGGCTGCGACATTAGCGGACCGTTCGCGAGGCGACGCGAGACGCGCGTCGAAAACCGTAATGGTTTTTCCAGGATTTAATGCCAATATCCGACCATTAAAATCTCTCATTGCAATCCATCTCGTTGACCCTCATTAATATCTCGCACACACCGTCGTTAATGTTAATCGATTCGTTCGCGCCACCTCGAATTTCGCGAGGGACGGATGATTCTCCCCGACGAACACCGGACACTCGCGCACGATGCACGCCGAATTTTCCGCGGCGATTGCATCAAGAACTTTCCGATTCGTTTCAGCAGCGTGAATCCGAGCTTACGGTTCGTAATTCACGTTGGTGCGTTTTTGCGGAACCGGGACCGGCGGCACCGTGTTTAGACGAGAGGGTGTCGCGAAACGCTCCGTCCAACGGGGGAAGACAATTAAAACGCGATAAAACATTTTATTAGGCTGGCCGTTAATAATCGTAAAACTGCTCGCCGAAGGGACGGCAACGTTAACTGGGAACACGCTTTATTCCCCGGTAAGCTGAAATCGGAATGATTCCACGAAAATTAAAGGCGCAAGGTGGGGCCAATAAGCCTCGATCCGAACGGAAAGCCCCGTGAAAATGGCGGTTCTATTTTTATTTCATGAATTATCACAGTTTCTCAGAACCGAGGAACTGTGATTAGACACGACATCGGGCGATTCCCGATCAAAGGCGACTTCCGAGAACACGTTGAACAACGCGGATACTAAGAACAAGAAGAAACGCACGGATAACGTAACTGTAGAATCGTATAGATTGCGGCAGATTATCGCCGGCTAAAACAGGTCGGTCGCGCGTTGCATCGATCGTGTCTATATTTCTTAAATTATTTACGAGGCGAGCGAAATAAAATGTAGTCCGGGAGCAGTTTATTATATTTTTCACGACCTATTCGTTTCGTATTTTCACCAATAAACGTCGCCTGTAGTCGTTAATTATAAGGAAATTGATGAGGCTCGATTTAGGAGTCCGATACCTAGTGCTCGCGCGTCAGTGGTTCTCGTTTCAGAAGTCGAGGGACGTGTCCCTCGTTTTTTGGGGAATACGTTAAGAGATAATTATTATGCGCGATAAAACTATGTCAGATTTCACTCGATAAAAGTGCAGCTTAACGCTGAATCTATCATGTCGGTAAAACTGGCCGATTTCAAATTTTTGATTCTGAAATTTCGTTGAAATTACAGAAACTTTCTCTTTTTCTTTCAAGCATACGTTGCGATGAAAATAGCGACAAGTCTAAATAAATGAAGTGTCGTCATAAAGCGATACACTCGCGCTTTAATGCTTAGTTAATTTCAGTAAAAAAAAACCTGGAGATCTAGAAACTGCGATGATCACCACCGCTGCCCACGGAAAATAGTGGCATCGCGTGTTACGTTTGTGGATGTTTTCGTCGAGTGATCGCGTGCTGATTGGCCAGTATTTGTCGGACCACTGTCAGACGCTGTTCCACTTGTACGATCAAATACAGACACGATGATATTGCAGCTACCGGGGAAACTTATCGTCCCGGGGATGAGTTTTCTATAACTCGGTTGCGGACGTGAGAGATGATCAACGAAACTGTGAGTCAGAATTTATGACAGTTCCGAGTCCGCTGTGACTCGACTGATTTGTGACCGGGACTTTGACAACTCATTTTTGGAGATCGGCCGCCTTGATAGGACTCACGAGAGAACGTAATTTATTACTGAATAGCATAGACGAAAGAAAGGCGGCGGGAAATGAAAGCGGGAGTGGCGTCGCGTGATGCGTAGTTTCCTAGACATAATCGGTCGTGACAATTGGAAAAAGACAGACCAACTTCTTTCTCACTTTCTCTCTTTTTATTGGAATTGGTAACAAAATATAGTACTTGAAATTACCTTAATGAAAAAACCTCACGAGACCTCGATATCGCGGGCTTTTTGAAACGCTGAAACGAGGGCGTTAAGTTGCACCGCCTCGCTGCAACCAATGGCAACCCTCTTTTCTATTTCTGCCAGTTTAATCACCAGATCGATAAGTATCTCGTCCGGAAATTCAACTGAAACGAAATAATTAAAAGCGTAGTGTAACTGCGTCGAATATCACCTTAAATCAGCTACATACTTTTGTTCACAAACAGATGGAGTTCTGTTAATATGTCTTGCAACGCGAGTCCCTTCTTCAGCTTTATGTCTTGTATTTCTGTGCAACAACGAATTAAGGAATATTTCACCTACTGAATAACAAATAGCGATCATAATACACATAAGGATACTGCCATAACAGAGTTCGTATGACTCGTTTAACAACCAGTTCACGATGTTCTTTATGTCGATAGGAAGAGGATGGCCGACGCAAGTATAAACAGTCTCTTCCGTGACTGAACCAAAAGCGAGCCACGTGCTCTGGAGAACGTTCAACACTTTTCTCATGTCGCCTCCGCTTAAAGTGATCAGTGCCTTTTTACCATCTTCGATGACTTCCAAGCTGCAAGCATTCGTGTTTGTATAACGCATGAAAGAGCGTGTACACAAATAATCGACTCACTTCTCTTCCTTGATAATGTCGTCTAGCCTAGGTAAAATTTGACTTTCCGACAGTGGGCCAAATCTGAATTTCGTGCACCGTGACTGAAGAGCCGGGATAATTTTGCTGAGATAGTTGCATATGATGCAAAACCTTACATTGTCTGTGTACTTCTCAATGACTGTAATACAATACTTCATTTAAACATATTCTTTCACTTTTAAAAGTTGCAACGAACAACGCTTACTTCTCCTAAGGGCATTTTGCGCATCGTTAGTCATAGCATCCGCCTCGTCCAGGATAATCAATTTAAAACCAGACCTATACATCGTGCCCGTACTAGCGAAACTAAGAATTTGGCCTCTAACTATTCCTATACCTCTGTCATCCGAAGCATTCATCTCTAATACCTGTAGATAAAATGTAGTAACAACGGATCGCTGTATGATAGAAAGAAAATTGGAAAATAATCAAATCATACCATCGAATTGAATTGTCCTGCTGTGTATAATTTTCGAGCACAAGCAAGTATCGTACTGGTCTTGCCTGTACCGGGTGGGCCGTAAAACAGAAGATGAGGAAGTTGGTCATCGTTGATGAATTTATTAACTACGACAGAAGAAAGATATTATTTAATAACATATACAGTTACTTGATTATATAAAATCTGAAAACAAATAAAATACGAACTAGTTTTAATGATTTCTTCGTGAGATATGAGATCGTCCAACTTTTTCGGACGATACTTCTCAACCCTGCAGTAACAAAAACGAATTACCGATTTAATTGTTTTTACGAATGTTATTAACAAACGATCACAAAACTAAAAGAAATATTCACCAGGGTAAATTCATGACAGTTCCTGTTTTATGTGTCATGGTTTGCAGTTAAAGTTCTCACTGTACACTTTGTTATAAACACACTGCGAGGTTAGCGGCAACACGTTTGGCGGTATTTCGTTAACTGACACGACAGAAATGGCGCCCAACGCGCGGTGTCATTATTTCGAACTAACCTTTACGATTGGTGGCCATAGGTCGAAATGCATCTCGGGACTTTTCGTTGGAATTCAAAATGTACTCGATTCTTAATTGAAATTCTAAAAATAGCCGATTAACGATGCTATCTTCACAACATTCTCACATAAATTAAGGTTAATCCTTTCACACGCACCAGGATCAACAATCTAGTGTACGATAAAGGATACATTTAAGAAGTACAAAACATTCTACAGTAACTCAAAAGTTGTCAAAAAGTATACAGAACATCATGAGCAATTCTGATTTGTGTCACAAAACTCCTGATTACATACTCCTCGCGAAAACTCGGTTCAAGTTAACCTTAAAGGAGCACCAAGATGACGAACAATTGAAAAATGATTTCCTCGAGGCGGTGTTGCGCAAAAATATGAGCAATTATTACCAGGACGTATGCAAGGAATTGAATTGGAACCTGAACGAGGAACTGCTCGAACAGATGAAACATGCGAACGAAATTGCATGGAAGGAACTTGAGTCTAACGAAAGCTCGGCTTTGGATGATTCAGCGAAGACGAACTGGCGGGAGAAGTTGAACTTTTTATGCGAGATCGGTGATCTCGATCGCGCCACGAACATAGTCACCGTAGTATTCGAGGATCAGACGAATTCGTCAAGCGTCAGGATCGAGGCTGCGTTTTGTTTGTTCAGGTTGGCGTACGTCAGAAATAATTGTCGTTCGATGGGAAAAATCATCGGCGATATAACAGACCTGATGGAATCGGTCTGCAGGTCCGGCAGCGACTGGTGTTGTCGTAACAAATTGAAAGCGTACGAGGCTGTCTACTGTCTGGCAACTAGAAATTTTCCTCGTGCCTGCATGCTTCTGCTAGAATGTACCCCCACTTTCGAATCCTACGAGCTACTGTCTTTTAAGGAGGTCGTCGAATACACGGTGCTGTCCGGATTGATCTCGTTACCGCGATCCGATCTTGACCGTCAGGTCAACAATAATGGATTACTGCAACAGGCTTTGCTCACCGAGTCTCTCAGATACAGGGACTATTTCCTCTCCTTCTACGATTGCCGCTACAAAGAGTTCTTCAAGAATCTAGCGTGGATAGAAACCGAACTGAAGGCCAACCCTCTGCTGCATCCTCATTACCGCTACTATGTGAGAGAGATGCGTGTGAAAGCTTACTCACAATTGTTACAGGCATACAGGACAATCAATTTGGACAGGATGGCGACGGAATTCGGGGTAACCGAAGAGTACGTCGAGCAAGAAGTCGCGCGTTTCATCGCGAACGGTAAACTGCATTGCAAAATCGACAAAATGGCGGGAACGATTGTTACTGTTAGCACCGCTGGCTGCGACAGAGGTAAGGCACCTGACGCCACCTGCGATCGTGGACTAAGTTACCAGAACACGATCAAAAAGGGAGACGGTCTGCTTAACCGATTGAAGAAACTTGGACAAGTTATCGACTTTTGAAGTTATCAATTTTTGTGTATATTTCTGGAAATTTCCTTCGTAAAAAATTGTTGAGATAATAGAGTAACTATTTAACATCACGGATTCAAATCTGAGTTCAAAGTACATTATGCTCGAACCCGGGAGGGGAGATTTGGTACTAATTGTGTAATAGCTTGAACATTTTGCCGTAGGTGGCGATGCGAGGTATTTTTACATAAAATTATAATTGAAAATGTGGATAATAATTACTTGTTAATAATGTGAAATATTGCGTTAAGAGACTATTAAAACTAGGAGTACTCTGTATCGCAAAAATTCTGGTCAGTTTCTTAGCTATAATTTACAATCAATAATACAAAATAACTTATTTAATTTTAATTAATTATTTAATTATTAATTTAATTATTTAATTTTAACACTACATGCTTATATGTATAGCAATGTTTTGTAACACCGATTGATAGTGTCCGAAAAAGGAATGTGAAAAGGGTTTGCGCTATGAATTAATATATAACTAAAAGATGCTCGGTTTGCTACTTACCAGAAGAATGACAGATTGAATTTGATTAATCCAGCACACTGTATTTCGAAGGAGGGATGTCGATTTTTTTCCCAAACAATCGATTCGAATCGTTGTGTAATGAATCGACTCGTGAAAAGATCAATTCTTGCGAGATCGATTCATTATAAACAAAGACTTCCGAAAGCTGATACCATAATATAGAATGATCAATAATAAGTTTGGCTAGCATTCCTAGCCGTTGTTGAATACATAATCTAATTATCTTTGGTTACGTGTTCAAACTTGTATTATAATATAATATGTAGTGCTGCGGAAACTGTGAATCGATGTACAATATCTCGTTGAAACTCGATCGTCGAATCGTTTCAAGATTTAAAAGTCGATTTGAAAGATCGAAAATCGTAAATAAAAATATCGATCTTTGAAAAATCGATGTTTTATCGGCATCCCTATTTCAAAGACATCAACTGGCTACACAGATTTTGGTAATTGATTTAAATCAGAGTTTCTAGTTAAAGTTCTTTGAAAAATATCTTTACAAAAATGTGATAAACGACCGTACTGTCATCTATAGAATCGTGAAAAATACCTGATTTCGAAGTATCAAGAATGTACATAAAATGTATCAAAAAGTACATAATTAAAATGATTCGAACAAAAGACAAGTTCAGTTGCACGGATAACTGAAGTTCATAAACATGAAAATAAATTGTAGTTGAATCTTTGAATTATGAACATAATTCCGTATAGCGGAGAACGTATATCAGGTTAGTGTATGTGAGAGACAGAGATAGGGACTCGGGACAGAACAGAGAACATAGTAGACTTTAATTGTTTAATATCTTGAAAACAAAGTTAAAACTGGAATTTTTTCATTCTCAGTTTCCTTCTTCTATTGTCATGGAGAATCATTCCTTAAGTTTTTTCCCACCTGTTGCCAAACACCCTGTACACGAAAAGTTAAAGAGGCTTGATAAAATAATTAATAAGGATAAAAGAAACATTTACGTGTGCAGTGCAGAATCCTCCAAAGTCACGGAGTAAAGTCGAAAGAATGGATAAGTGATTAGAAGTTCACACAATTAATTAGGAAGATTTCATATTGAATTTCTTTTGACAAAGCAACGATCGCTGATAGTAGTATTAACCGTACGAAAAAGGAAAGAAATATTTCAGAGAGCGCCACGTGCAAATTAATGAAAACACGTCACCGTTACATTTAACGTATACAAGAAGAACATCCGAAATTCTTTTGCGAACACGAAGTTCAAATGGAAACTATATGAAAATTGTTCGTCCGAAAAAATTTCGAAGTTTTCATGATGATAGAAATTCTAACCTGAAATTCAAACTTTCTCTATTTTGAACGAGCAGTAGGTAAGTTCATTCTTGACGATACAGTATTTTCGTTACAATCAGAAATTTTCGGAGTTGTTTATCTCATGACATTAGTTCTTCTACATCGCTACATGTTATGGAAAATGTAAAAAAATTCGCGATCGAGAACGGTGTTATATACCTCTCGATTAAATGTATTAATTTCAATAATTTTTCGGACATATTTATATTGTCATCTTCATCGCATGGAATATTATTTTCAAGCGGCGCATCAATTATATATTACTGTTATTATGATGGAAAAATGTACATTGCAAATAGTTCTTTTCTATTACATAAGTTTGGATTCACATGTACTAAAACATAAGAAGCACATTCGATATTTAGGTTGTAAACAAAATCAAACTGAAAATGAAATTGTTACATCAAATAAATGGTACAATAATAATAAACTATGTGTTTCATTTACAGCATAGTATAAAGTATGATGTCCAATGGTGTTCGGGTTTCTACAAACGAAATTGAACGAAGATCGATGTCAAATAACACAAAGTGTTCATCAAAATCGTCATCAACATTGAATTCGCCATTGATGAAGTTATCTTCCTACTTTCTAGCTGTACGACCATGGTCATTAAGCGCTTCGTTAATGCCAACACTTTTGGGATCTGTACTTGCATACCGATTAATAGGATTGACAAACTTTAGTTGGATATCATTTGTTCTTACTTTATATACAGTGTTTTGCGTGCATGGAGCTGGTAACGTAGTAAATACTTTTTTCGATTACATAAAAGGAGTGGACAGTAGAAAAAGTGATGATAGAATATTAGTGGATCAAATTTTATCAAAAGATGAATTAGTTTCATTGGGTGCACTATTATATGCAATAGGATGTTTGGGTTTTGTTTTGTTAACCATTATATCTCCTGCAAAAATGGAGCATTTAGCTTTGGTGTACTTCGGTGGTTTATCCTTTTCATTTCTTTACACAGGAGGCATAGGGTTTAAATACATAGCGTTGGGTGATGTTCTTATTTTGGTCATATTTGGCCCTATATCAGTTCTTTTCGCGTTTATGGCTCAGACTGGTTATTTTGAATTAGGGACAATATATTATGCTATACCTCTTGCATTAAATACAGAGGCTATTCTACATAGTAATAACACTCGAGATTTGGAGAGTGATAAAAAGGCAGGAATAGTAACTTTAGCCATATTAATAGGTCACACTGTATCTCACGTTTTGTACGCTTTTTTATTATTCACACCGTACGTAACATTTGTCGTGCTTGCGCTAAGATATTCGGTTTGGTTTCTTCTACCAGTCGTTACTCTGCCGACTGCCTTTAAAATAGAAAAGCAATTTCGAAGTCCACATATGATTCAAAGCGTGCCTAAACAGACAGCTAAACTAAATATGTTTCTGGGCATTTTGTACGTTATCGCGTGCTTACTCGTTGATCCTCTTCCTTACGTGTAATGTACATATATCTTGTATCATTCTTCAAAAGAAAACTTCATAGTTCAAGCAACTACATAAGCAGCTGATTAACCAATCCAAGGCATAATTTTAAGTTTCAATTGTTCACAAATGGATTGTTGTGGATCATCTAGTACGCGAATGTGAGACTGTTTAGATTTGTTTTTTCTAATCTATAAAAATCTAATTTATTTGCCTCTCTTGTGCAAGCATTAGTATGTACATTACAGAATTTGTTACTCAGTTAGTGTATTATACAATCAAATTTTTCTAATACAATACACATTTAGATACAACTTTTCACTAATGTGATGATCCTTCATATGTACAAAGTGCCTGCATTATTTAGGATTTGAATTTGTACTTGTATTTCTGATATGTGTAATAAGCATAATATTTTGCACCTAAAATAGGTGTGAACGTAAATGCGAATTTCAAACATATACTTATTTAAATATGTTTATATACAGGATGGTCTATACAATTGTTCCAAGTGATAACTCCATTATTAATGAATTTACAAAAAAATGCCACAGGAAGGTAAATGCCTCGAAGAACACTACATCTGTAAGCCCTTAGATATTTTTTAAGTGTATTGCACGTGCAATTGACAATTACATAATTTCTTTAAATGGAAATGCATATTTTTTATTGCACAGATCGATTCCTCTGTTCATTCTATGTAAAAAGTTATTAGGTTATTATGACAAAAAAATTATTAGTCTCGAGATATTTTCAAAACTCTGTTTATTGAAAAAAATACTCAAACGCTGCTCCATCACATTGTAAACATTTCTGTTAACGTTTTTTTTATTGTTTTAGCATTTTTTCGTAAATGCATTAATAACGGAGTTAAGACCTGAAACAGTTGCCTAGATCACCCTGTATAAAAATGAATTGTTATAAACACTACGTATTGCATTTTAGTGGCACATGTTCGGATATTAATACAGCAGGACTGTTAGTACACAACATTTTGTTACTAACAATAAGTTGGGTGTACATATAATTATGAAGTTTAGTGTGTTAAAGCTAAAAAAGTGAAAACATGTAATATTAAAAAAGAATGAAAGAAAGAAAAATTATGACTCCTCGATCTTATGAAACCCTGTCTAAAATAAAATCCACGTATTTTTATAAGTCAGTGGTCTTAAGAAATGAACGACGAAATTATCTTGAACCTTCTGAGATTTGTGACAACTAGACCGAGTAGATTTTATGCATTTGTGACAAAAATGAGTTGATCAGACATAAAAGCTCATTGCAAGAAGTAAGAAAAATCGCACACATATTTAAGGAATATATTAATTTCGATGTATACACGTACACGTGTACGTCGTATATACGTTATCATATATATATATATGTCTTCTTTGTTAAAAATTTATTAAAAATTTATATTATTATTGTACGAATTAAGAGTTTCGATAACTAAATACAGTAACATCACTTTTAATTCCCCGTATGAAATTTATCACGTACCATTTGAACGGAAATTGATGAGCTACAATTAATTGAAATAATCGTATGTTTTATTAAGATCTATACAAATTAATTATCTCTATAATAAATAGTTACTTTTTGTCATCTGTCTTGCTTACCCAACTTAATTTACTTCTTACCATCAAATTGTTAAAATGCCAATAAATCAATATCATGGAACTATAAACTGGTACATTTACGAATCTCTTTATCTAATACAAAAAAATCTGTCCATTCAGGCACAAAGTAATTCGCATAAATAATGTAGTAATTCAGGCATAAAGTAATGTTATTTCACAAATAACAAATAACGTTTGCATAGAATATATTCTATTTTGATAATTGTTGCAACACGCGATCTGAGCAAGAGAAATATACTCAATCGACACATAGTAAGACCACCGACCATAATTCATAAATTCACACATTTCCTAGATTATCCTTAAGAAAGTAGTTATTGTGCTTCTCACCTGTCACATTAACGCATTTTTGGAGCGGGAGATCGTCCAGAGCAATGTATAGAAACACATCGTCGCACGGTAATTAACATTCGAAATTAGAGGAACATCGTAGACGTCGTAGAATTCTTGACACGTAAACAGCGAACGTCAGTGATCGAACCATGGCAGTGCGGAGCAGGCTTCACTGACATTACACAAGCAAACGCACGCGTTGAAGTCTCTAGACAAACTGACTCTCCCTCCACTGCCATTCAACCNATTTATCTAATTGTTTAGAATTTTAAGTAGTATTATTCGTACGAAACTGTATGCATATCCTAAAATGTTTTGTAATCTTGAAAACATAACATACCTGAACACAAAGTTTTTACATTTTATAAGTTGATAAATTTACAAAATAAGACAATAAGTTTCGACGCTATTTATTCAATCAAGTACCGCTTCATTGTTCTATAATGCAGATGAAAAATCGATGCTGTGACAATTAGAAGAAGTTATTAATTTAGCTGTGTCTATGATAGCGAACTTGATGTATCGTGTACCGTTTTCTAAAAGATACAGTATGCAATTACATTGAAGGATATTATAGAAGAAAAAAAATAGTAAGGAAAGAAGAGATGGATTTCGATGCTGCTCGTGTTTTATTTACTGTGTATAAAAAGATGTATTTTATTTGTAAATGCAAAAACCACCTAAATTAAAATGTTCATAACACGATGGAAGTAATCTATACGAAATGTAATGTAATTATTTATGACTTTGATAAATGCAGATACTTTATTAATACCGATGATTTCTATCGTATATTTGGGTAGTATGTAGTCTCGATAAACGAAAAAAAGAAATAAGTATAGATGAAAAAGAAATGAGTTTTTATAGCTAATGATTTAATAAATGATTTTTTTATCAATATAGATTTTCAGTGTTATTTTCCATTCATATATTATGAAATATTTATTTAAAAAGAAAATTAAAAGATCTTTTACAATTTGATATGAAGTTAGGCGATATGCATATACGAAGTGTATTATCGATACATGTTACAAAATCGATTAATCGCATAACAAAACTTAAAAGTTTCGATTCTCGTTTGATTCGGAGTTTACTTCGTTTACTTTACTTTCAAACTACGACGCTTTTGAATTGACGTTCCCAAAAACAAGTGGTTATTTTAAAATATATCTTGTTGAAGATACGTTTTATATTTATATATTGTAAGATAGATTGAAAGAAAAGAGAAATGTACAGGTACTGTAAATTAGATGATCCAGTCGTAGTATGCCCTTATAATAAGTCTCATTTAATTGTCAAATCTCGTCTTCAAAAGCACATTGTTAAATGCGAAAAGGTATGTGTATTCATCTAAATGAATCAATTGTCAAATTCAATATTATTATTATATTAATGATATATATATTTATTTAAATACTGTTGTAGAACTATCCTGAAGATTATAAAGTTATGTGTCCTTATGATGCAACTCATCGTTTGTCTCAAGAGGAATTAAAAGAACACATTATGACTTGTCCCACACGTAATGTACAGGAGTTTGAAACGTGTTCAGGTTAATCCTTTGTCAATACTTAATTTTGTATTTCTAATTAATCAATCACTAAGATCAAAATGTTTTATTTCACAGAAACAAAAAATCATGGGTATGTCAATTTTCCAATGCCTTCGGAGGTTACTAGTACAGTTGATGACACAGAAAATTGGGATTCAGATCCAGATACTTGTAACGTTGTTTTAGAAGATGACAGTGTTTCAAATAATAAGTTTAACTTACGGAGGTATATATAAATGCTTCTTTAAATTTTTTGAATATACTTTTAAATGTATACTTTTACTAATTTTTTATTTAATTTTTGTGAACCAATAGATATGTCAATGAAAAAGAAGATTTGAGACCACCTCGTGGCTTTTCTGTAGCTATGATGAAAGAGTCCGATGAGGATTCAGCTAATGAAGATACTGAATCAATAATTAGTACATTGGGAATTGGAAGAGGCAAACTTATACAAAGAAAGATACAAATGAAACTACTTGAGAGGGGTAGAGGAATTTCTCTGACAAGAGATTGATGATGAGAATATTGATATTATGTAATATATAATGACATAGTTTTCTACTGAAATG